GCTAAGCATCTGTAAATGCGATGTATTAAAAAATAACAAGAACAGAAAATCCATAGTTCTATGGGTTTCTCAGTCTGTTGAGCATCAAATCATATTTCCCAATGAACCATCTGCTTCCAAATTTCAAGCTCCTATCCATTTAATAAGCCTCTTCATCAGTGAAATGAAAGGTACATGCATTGGAATTAACAAGTATGTGAATGTGTGTGTATAGTTTTGTTTTAAGATATTATACCTTCTCCTTAAGATGAACATTGATGGGGGGGAAAATAAATCAAATTAATGTTCTTATTCATGTGTAGACCAGAGAGAGGTTAATGTCTTGCCCAGTATCACCAGATTCAAGGAAGTCTAAATAAAGGCTCCGAAGTTTTCTCTCCATCCCCACCTGTATGTATCTCTTTAGCACTTTCTTATCTTTTTTCTTGGCCAGATAGGGGTTTAGCCGGAGTGACCAGGAAGAGAGTGTGTATTTTTTCTGACACGGGGGGAATTTTTAGTTTCATTAGAACATCAAAAAGAGGCCAGAAGGTCAGAGCTGTAAATTCAAACCTGCAGATGCTGGCTGTAATGGTGTGAATAACTCTCATCTCTCCAGTGAAGGAGCAGTCGGTTTGGGTTTCTGCAAAGGGAAAGGTGCAAGGAGTCTGGGGTGGAGCTGTGGGTAGTGCCCACGATGTCACTCATCTTCAAAGGTGCCCAGAGTGAGTGGGGGACACCCCAAATCTGCACGAAGAAGACAAGGACAACAGTGGCAGGAACTGTATCAGTATTGTAGTATTACAATTAACAGATGATCAAGTTACAATTTAAATAAAAGGATCACAGCTTTAGGGAAGAGTTTAAATCCGTATCCTGGATTGCAGCAGTAGTATAGCCCCTAATTACATAAATAATACATGAATTAATTTTTATAGAAATGCATTGCCTTGAAAAATGCCGTTCATATTTTGATAGGAACTGGATTGAGTCTGTAGATTTCTTTGGATAATATGGGCATTTTAACAATGTTAATACTTCTAATCCTTGAGCGTGGTATATTCTTCCATTTATTTGTATCTTCTTCAGTTTCTTCTGTATCTTATAGTTTTTCTAATACAGGTCTTTTACCTTCTTGGTTAAATGTTTCCATAGGTATTTTATTCCATGAATAAAGAGGATGTGCATTTATACGATAGAATATTACTCAGCCATACAGAGAATGAAATCTTGCCATTTGCAACACCATGGATGGTAGAGAGTATTATTCTAAATGAAATAAGTCAGATAGAGAAGGACAAATACTGTATGATTTCACTTATGTGTGAAATCTAAAAAACAAAATAAATGAACTAGCAAAACAAAAACAAGCTCATAGGTGCAGAGAACAAACTGGTAGTCACCAGATGCGAGGGGTGTTGGGGCGTGGGCACCACGGGTGAAGGGAGTGAGAGCTACCAATTACAGTTGTAAAAATAGTTGTGGGGTGTAAAGTACAGAAAAATAAATACAGTCAGTGATATTGTAATAACTAGGTATGGTGCCAGATGAATGTCCCATCATTATGTTGTTTACCTGAAACTAATATAATATTATACGTCAACTATAACTAAAAAATAAATTTTTAAAAAAATCTAAAAAAGCCACAGAGTGAATGCATTGTCTTACGTACTTGTCTGGAATGGCAGGCGCGTGCGTCTTCTCTCCCCAACCACACACTCTGTACAACCCTCCAGATGTTTCTGCCCTCAGGCGGTCATGTCACTACAAGAGACGCTCTAAATGTGGATGTAAGCTTAAGGGTTTCATTATGCACTCCATCAGATTATTTGTGCAAATATGATTAGTGGAAGAGCCCATTATTGCACCATATACTTGGAATAATTCTTCATTATTCCCATTTTGTTTGATAAAAAGCTGGTTTCTATCCATAAGCAACGATTTCTCACGAGCCTCTGACAGTTCAAAGATCTTTAACCAAACACACAGATATCTGTTGTCTTCAGTGTACAAGGCATATGGAGTCTTCAGAAAAACTTGTTGAAAATAGAAATGTCACACCTGCAGATTCTCTTTTACTCACAGACTAATTTCTCTTTTAAAAGAAAAATCTTCAATAGATGTAATCAACTCTGCATGCAGACCCTGCTTTTCTGCATCTTGTGCTAAATGGGGAGGGGTCAGATTTTACCCAAAACCAGCCATCCAGCAGCCTTTTTTCTTTGTGGAGAGTGATGCTACTCCCATCACGTCTTTATGTGCAGAAGGGTGAGAGGGAGTGAGGCCGGAAGAGCCCTACTTGTAACTGAAGGGGGGACTGAAGAAGACAAAGTGGAAACATTGCCAAGGTGCCGTTCTGGAATGTCTGCTTCTCCAGTCCCTGAGGTCCCGCTGCTATGGGAGCTCTGTGAGGGGAAGGTTTGCTCGCATTCATCGCTATATCCTCAGCATCTGGGAAAGTACTCGGTACCTGTTAGGTGCTTCATTAATACTCACACTCTAATAATACTTATATAGTATATACCATAAGTAATATATATATACACACTATAATGCAGTTATATATTGCATATTATAATAATACTAGAATGCTTATATGAACATGTAACTAACACAGAAATGAAATAGCTATTTTCTTTTATTTTTAAAAAAGGTTTTATTTAAGCCCTGGCTGGTGTAGCTCAGTGGATTGAGCATGGGCGGTGAACCAAAGTGTCGCAGGTTCGATTCCCAGTCAGGGTACGTACCTTGGTTGCAGGCCATGACCCCCAGCAACCACACATTGATGTTTCTCTCTCTCTCTCTCTCTCTCTCTCTCTCTCTCTCTCTCTCCCTCCCTTCTCTCTCTAAAAATAAATGAATAAAATCTTAAAAAAAGGTTTTATTTATTTATTTTTACACAGAGGGAAAGGAAGGGAGAAAGAGAGGGGGAGAAACATCACTGTGTGGTTCCCCTCCCGTGCCCCCCACTGAGGACTTGGTCCACAACCCAGGCATGTGCCCTAGACTAGGAATTGAACCGGCAGCCCTTTGGTTTGTAGGCTAGTGCTCAATCCACTGAGCCACACCTGCTAGGGCTGAAATAGCTGTTTTAATTTGGCATTTACTTATTGGAGGGATGAGACAATTTATTTTCTTTATACTTATTAAATTAATATTTTTGTGTCGTTATTGGTTCTTTTAGCTACTAATTAGTTCCTGGTTTCCACGGGACTTTTGTGCACCGGGAACAGGAATGACTCTGAAGGTGGGAGAATGGGATTTCCAAGAAGTCATCTAGGCTGAGGTGTGAACAAAGAGGCATCAGAAATAACTTCCCACACATGCACATGTGTACGCACGTGTACACCATAGATAGCCTGTGGCCTGACCCTGAATCCTACTCTTTTGTTATGAGTTAACCCTCTGTCCTTTCCTGCTTGGATCTTGAATTCCAGCTTGCCCGTCCATAACAGCCATAGTGACCCTTTGGAGTCTGCAGCTACCACACTTACCTCTAACATGAAACATGTCAATTACTTGTAGCTTTTCCTATAGCTCCTACGAAAGATTCTTGCATTTGCATTTGCATTTACATTTACATTTACAAAGCAAATGTGACAAAGCACTCCCATATCGATTACGGGGTCTTGGGTCACAAGGTATGAACACATGCATTCCCCATGCAACAAGCATCTGTGGAAGTGTATCGTCTGGCTGACATTGTACCGGGCACTACGGCTGTGAAGTCCTGTCCCTGGGAGGCTCCCGGAGGAGCAAGCGGGACAGCCACACAGTAGCAGTGCAGTGCGATAAGACATCCAAGAGAGGGGCCTGCAAGGCCCGAGGGATCCCAAGGAGTCAGTGACTGTCACAGCCATGAGGAGCAGTCGAGGGAGGTTTTCCAGAGAGAAGATGCTTGAACTAAGTCCCAAAGGTCAAAAAGGGGCATGCGTGAAAGTGGGCACATGGTGTGGTGGGTGGAGGGAGCACTGTTGGCGGCATACCTGGGGAAGGGTAGTTGGGAAGATTCAGGTTTTCCTCACCACATCACTGGAACTAAAAGTGTTGCTGACAGATTGTAAAGGAATCTTGAAAATATCTGGACAAACACTAAGCCCTTGCTACTCGAAATTTGGTCTGCTGACCCCACACTACCTACCCATGAGCAACCTGGAAACACGGGACGTCAGGCTCACCTCAGCCCCACGGAATCAGAACCTGCACCCCCACAACATCCCCAGCTGGCACGTGTGGGCATTCACATTTGGACTGGGAAACTGGTTTTCTCTGGAAGGTTGAATCTTTGGTTAGAGTTTCAGGACACTTGTCAAACGGAAACTGGTTCCTGAATGATGCAGAATGATGATTTACTGCATCATTAATAATGACGGATGCAGATCAATAAGGGATCTGTTTGAAGCCGATTGCTATTTAGCTTCGAGGACTAAGTCAGTCAGTCAGAGATGGACCACCAGTCACACTCCAGCAGCTGTGACTGGGTGGAAAGTGGACTGGGCTAACGTGAGGTCCCAGGGCTTTATTTGATGAGGTGTGTGATTCTAGGCAAACCCTTTACGCTCGCTGAGCACCAGTGACTGTGTCCTTTCGAGGCACCTCCCACGCGCCAAGCATCCCTCCGGGCACTGACATGAACATCCTCACATTTCCTTATCTGCCAACCGAGGGACAACAATACTTGCCGTAGAGGGTCTCATTAGGATCCAAGGAAATAATGTGTACCGCAGTGCTTTGCCAGGGATAAATGCACTAGGTTATGCTTTAAATATCTGCATAGAAAAATGCATACTTACAGAGCATCTGCCGTGATCCAAGACCTGTGATGAATTGACCTCAGTTCAAAGATCTTGGTTATCATTGAAACAGGCAAAGCAAAACAGGTGCATGGCACGCGTATTTAAGAAGGGAGGTATCAAGGTAAAAGGAAAAGCAGCACCTACCACTCGAACCCCAGAGAACGTGTGATGCTGCCCTTGTTGCCCAGTGCACCCCAGTCATCCTCTCGCTTCCCACTCCCCCAGGCATGCGCCAAGGCAACGACCACGGCTCGCAGTACCGCTCGGCCATCTACCCGACCTCCGACGCGCACATGCAGGCCGCCCTGAGGTCCAGAGAGGACTACCAGAAGGTAAGGGCTCCTGTGCTCCTGGGCTCCTCCGTCTGCCCCCGCCCTCTGCTCCACCAGGTCGGGCCCCACCTGTTGAGGGGAGGGTCTGGTTCTTTTCACCTGGCGCTGTGTTCCATTTGTACATTTTGGGGAAGTTTCTGTAAGCCTCTTGGAATAGAGCCACTCCGCGCCATAAATGTGATAAGTGAGATTTTAATAATAGGCCTTTAGGCATTTCTCTTTAAAAACAACTTAATATATAGTTTTTCTCCCTCTCTTTTTGTCCTTTTCTTCCTCTTTCGCTGGATTTCTCTTTCTCTTTCTGTATTTGTTTGCATGGACTTCCATAACAAAGTACCGCCGACTGGGTGGCTTGAGCAGCAAATGTAGTGTCTCACAGTCTGGAGGCTGGAAGTCCAAGATCAAGGTGTCGGCCTGCAGAGTCGGTTCCTTCTGGGGCCCCAGGCTCCCTCCTGGGCTCCTAGACGGCCCTTTCTCCTGTGTCTGTTCACGCAGTTCAGCCTGGAAAACTCTCTGCCTTGCTCATAACAGTAGATTGAATTATAACAAAAAATACTTCTCTGAAATGCAGATATTATATCACAAAATAATTATCTTCCCTATTAACTTGTGTTGTATTTTTTAAATGCCCTCCAATAGACATTTAGTTCTGGTGAAAATAAGTTGAGTTGCTTTAATTTTTAGAACTTCATGATAATGCTTAAATTTGAATTATTGTTCCATTTTCTTTTTAATAGTTATATCCACTTTATTTTTAAATTAAATTACATTTTTAAATTTTTTAAATTACAGTTTACATTCAGTATTATTCTGTATTAGCCTCAGATGTACAGCATAGTAGTTAGACAATCATGCCCTTCACAGAGTGGTCCGTTCGATATTTCCAGCACTCGCCTGGCCCCAGACATGGTTGTTACAATATTACTGACTATATTCCCTGTGCTGTAATTTACATCTCTGTGACTCTTCCACTGAAGGAGTAACTACCAATTTGTACTTCTCAGTCCGTTCACTTTTTTCTCCCAGCCCCTCACCCCCCTGATTTGGATTCACATTTAGCAACGGAGCCAGTAGCTACTGTAATGCTGCTCTGTTTTACAATTATGTAACTAGTCTGTGCAGCAATTCCCAAGAATGTGTGGGTTCTCCACCTATCCCCCACGGTGGCAGAGGTGACAGTGGGACAGAGGCAGTGACGAGAGTGCATCTACTGATGAAAAGTTAGGAGGCCAAGCCACTTGTGGTCAGCGTGACTCCGAAAGCAGAGAGGGCTAAGGAGATGCTGCCGGGGCCCCCCTTCGTCCTCAGCACGTCCACCCCACCTCACAGAGCTGCGTTGTCTACCTGGTGATAACCGTAGGCAGCCGCTAGGATGGCCCTCAGTGGTCTCTGGCCACGTGCAATCCCTTCTCCTTGCGTATGGGCTGGATTTAATAACTCTCTTCTACTGAATGACAGAAGGGATGGGATGTTCCTCTGAGATGAGTTGACTAAAGATTGTGACTTCCATCTGGGGGTCCCTTTCTCCCTCACTGTCTCTTGCATCACTTGCCGAGGGGCAAGCCAGCAGCCCTGCCACCAGGCAGCCCTGTGTAAAGGCTCACGTGGCAGAGCAGAGGCCTCCAAGAACCACTTGGCAAGTCTGGGAGCCCCTCCGCCTCGGTCAGCCCTTCAGATGAGATCGCAGCCCCAGCTGACGGTTGGGCTGCAACCTCAGGGAAGACCTCAAGCCAGAGGTACCTGCCTAAGCCGTACTATAGAAACCACAAGATAATAAACGTTTATTGTTTTAAGCTAAGTTTAGGAGTAATTTGAGTATATTTATATTTCTATCCTAAAACACTTTTAATTATAAATTATTCTTTCTCATGTTCCTTTTCATCATGACTTGTCTGAAAAAGGTGGGCTTACATGGTGACAGCTAAGCATGGAGCCTCTGGCGTCACATCATCTTAGTTTGCATGTCAGCCGAGTAACTTTTTATCAGGGGCCTAACACTGAGAAGCCAGGGTCATCTTATCTACTCATCTACTCAAGCAGACCTATAAGGACGAGAGACCTCACTATGATCCCCACATTTCAGATGCCTGGCGTCATAAGGTTAAGTCAGTAGAGTTGCTGGAATTAGAAAAACAAGACGACACAGAGAGAGAAATTGGGTGGCTGTTCTAAGACTCCAAGCCAGAAACAAGGGAGCTTCATCCAGGTTGGTCAAAGTCCGACTGGGATGAGGGGTTGTCAGGAAGTGCAGCTCCTGGAACTCGGAGCTGATTGGAAGCAGAGGACGCGCAGGAGGGAGGAGTCCAGAGTGACTGACATGTGTCTGGACAGTGGCACTTTGAGTGATGGTGTGGAGGAGCAGAGGCAGGTGCCTGGGGAAGGGAAGGAAAGTTCGGAGATTGGAGGTTGAGCTGCCCCTGATGCGGGCATCCCCGTGGTTGCTCGGAGGAAACGTGGGCTGCCTTGCCTCACAGGGAGCGTGGCTGTGACCGTTAACTGGGCTAGCGCGTGGGAAGTGCAGGGCCTGGCACATAGTGAGTGCTCAGCAAATGGCAGCCCTCGTTATTGTTAGGAGTTTATTTACACTTGGTAAGTGGAGCCCACGTTGCTGGTAGAATCACTCAGGAAGAGTGTAGGAGATGGGCGGAGAAGGCCTGGGCCGGAATAACACCAGCATTCGAGTGCCGGGTGGGGAAATGCCTGTGTCAGGCAGGACGCTGGTCTGGGCGCAGCAGGGAGACAGCCCCCAGCCAGAGCTTAAAAATGGTGCTGCCCAGTTTAATCTCACAATATGCAGTTACAAAGGCAGTCTGTAGTAGTTAATACTTAAAGTTACCTATGATTCATGCCACGTATAAATGGATTGCTGTAATGATTCACAGTCCCATAATATAGTAACAGTAAGATACTCTGGACGGATATTAATTTTCCCCCAGAATATCTCCAAAGGAGGTGGCATATTGGGTTTCACAATTAGAATTTTACATTCGAAAGGTCAGCGCCTTCCCGTGAAGGTGAGGGCTGTCATACTCCTCTTACTCCGAGTTCTGCCCCGGGGCAGTTTCTTGCCCTTGGCTTTGAGTGGAACCCACATTGGCTTTAGACAACTGGCGCACAAATGAAATAAAGTTTAGGTGGTGAATATTAGTCAACTGTTTTAATAATTTCTCTGTTACTTTTGTCTATTTGCTGAATGTTAATCTTATCATCTTCTATTCTAGACAGTTGTTCTAACCAAATGCTTTTTGGGTGTTCTATGCAAAAGCATACAGGCCTTAAATACAAACATTCATTCACATGTACATTTTTTGCTTGGTTTTTGAAAGTGGGGTCTTGTTTGCATAAACATCAGGGTCACCTGTGTCCCCATCATCTGGATATTCATCGCTGTTAATGGACATAATCACATACAACTGCTTTCTCACCGACTCAGGGAACAAATCCTGTCCCATCCCTTTTACTTTGTCACATCAGTAAAACTGGCCTCGGAGGGCACTGAAGGCAGGGGGCACATCAGTCTGGCTCCCTGGCCGGGACCCTCGACTGCAGGCCTCTTACTCTCGTGCCGGCTTGTTGCCAGGACGTGGGGCTGCTGTAGAGCCCAGGTCCTCGTGGCCAGCAGAGCTGCTACATGGGAACCATGCTCTCCTTCTCCTTTCTGGAGGTGCACAGCACAGGGGTGAGGCACCCCGGGGAAGAGCCGAGTACTGAGAGCCGTAGCCCTAGGGATCCCTGGCTGACCTCAGTCAAGTGCAGAAAGTGCTTTTTGGTCCTGACACAGCCATTGCCCAAGAGCCCCCACCCAGAAGCCCTGGCTCAGGACTCGTCCTCTGGCCCCCCCTGAGTACCAGGAATTATGGTCCCCCTTTCACATCTATTCAATACACCACGAGGGATTAAATCACTTTTCTTTTCTGGAAGAAAAGAACAAAGTGACTACCTGTGTCGCCACCCCCGGGAGCAGGGGGCTCACGGTGTGCTGACAGGTGGGCGGCCACTGTCGTTTTCCTCTTAGTCTGGCTGCCGTGCAGAACAGAGCCCAGGACCAATGCCGGACTGTGAAGACTCACTGGGGCGTGTGCTGCCACGCGCAGGAGCAGAGGGGAGGGATGGAAAAGAAGCAGGGGGAGCCAATTCAAGGTGGCCCCTGCTGCGGCTATTGGTGACGGGTTGTTTGGTCCCGATGAAATGACCAGTCAGTCACTCTGGGGGAGACGGGAAGCATGTGTCCGTTGGGTGCCGTCTGCCGTGGGTTTCATGCTGCACTTCCGGGTTGCTCGTGTGCGGGTTCAGGATCCTGTGTCCCTGGGGCAGGGAGCAGGAGGCCAGAGGCACGTGGCATGTGTGTGAGATGAGGTGCCTAGGGTTATGGCTTCATAAAGCTGATCAGAGTCCCTGCAGAACTGGGCGCTGCAGCGGGGGTGGGGGAAGAGGAAGGTGAGGCCAAGGGGGTCTCAGCTGGGGCCTGAAAGGCACAGTCCAGGCCATGCAGCCCACCACGGTGCCTCAGGGACGCTTTACCACGGTCCAGTGACTTTCTGGCGCCTCTGTTAGAGAGGAGAAAGAGAAACACAAGTTTCATTGTCAGCAGGAATCCTGCTACAATTATATACAGTTACATAATATACAGTTATATATGTACTTTATATAATATAATTATATATAGGATATATGTAACTAATAATGATGATGATAATAATAGAATAGCATCAACAGTACCAATTGAGTTCTTACTACATGCTAATTACTGTTTAAAACCCTTTATATAAATGAAGTCATTTACATATCTCTGACTATATTTGCCTCTATAGATACATAGATAAAATGGATATGTTTAGATTGAGGTATTTATGTATCTCTCTTTATGTAAAATTGTGTTTATTCATGTATCTGTTTCTAGTTTTGAAACTTGTATAGATTTCTAACTGTCCATTCAATTGATATAATTAATACTATATACACCAAAAAAAGAAATCAATAATTTGCAGTGCCTACGAGAG